CTCCATTTCAAAAAACCAACCGCGACGGCGAGTTGTGTGCAGAAGAACAGAAAAGGCGATGTCCTAGCCGTACTTCATCTCAAGTCGTGACATATTTCATCTCAAATAACGACAAGGCAACACAGTTGGAACCGGGTTTATTGTCTTGCCATTCATTTGACACACGCCGTAAGGAATTAAACGTGCCGTAAGACAGCACTGCGTCCAGGGAAGCGACCTTCCCTTACAACCATCCTGCAAGCCCTTCTGGCCTATTGCTTTTGATTTTTCCTTGGCCGTCTCTTACAGCACAAACAACAGGAGTAGCAGGAATTAAAATCTGGATAGCGTTCCCGTATTCTTATTGCTCATTTAATTCTGTACCATTCCAATGAGTGTCGTGGATTTCCTAGAAGTTTTCTTCATCAAGCATTCTTATAGATGAAAAAATGCATTGTCGTCGTCAGGCTCATTGTCGTCATCAGGCTCATTGTCGTCATCAGGCTCATCGTCATCATCAGGCTCATCATCTTCATCAGGCTCATCATCTTCAGGCTCATCATCTTCAGGCTCTGCGTCCAAAATAATTGCCACTTCTGAAAATTTTACGCCTTTCAGTTCTTTTTCAGAGGCAGGCGTTACAGGATCAGGTGTTGAGGAAAAAGCTGACTCTTGATTTCCATGTGTCAGAAAGCAATCCTGCAAGAAAATGTAATGCAGATGAGGCAGAAAGCTACAAAGGGTAGAGTGTGGGCAAATTCTAAGCAGTAGAAGTCATATAACTTTTATACATATATATATATATATATATTCTGTCTCTGAAGCTTGCAAATGAAGCATTGGTTTTAAGGCTGGAAGTTTTAGGAGCAGCATGTGAGAACCCTTTACTGTACACATTCTGTAAAAGATGGAAGAGAGTCATCATTTCTGGGTCACAGAGGACTCCTCCTCCTAAGCAGGGACAAACAGCCTCTCCTCAAACATTTTTCATTACTTCGCATAAGATGGATTTTGGTTTGGGTGTTTGTGGGGTTTTTTTTAGTTCATCACAGGTTTACTTTTTTTGATAATTCTTCAGTTATTTGACAAATAACAAAATATCTTTCACCACATTCTTTGCAATTGCAAAGCTAATTACCTGCTTCGTTGCAAATTCTGCAGCGGGCTGGGCATCTACATTTCTAGGTTCGGCAGCTTTTTCAGGCACTACGTTTTCCTCGTGGTCACGGTTGCAATCTAACAGTAGTGTCTTGAGGTAATTGTACTTTTCATTGGCCTGAATTAAGTCTTTGTCAGCACCACCTCCTTTGGTGCCTTCCATATTGCTAAATGCTATTATTTCAGTTTTCCTGAAAGAGAGTTAAGAGAATTCATGACAGCTTGAGCTTGCAAATAGTTAAGTGACAAAAATCTTCGTGTCTCTCAAACTGAGAGCAGCATGTATGCTGATCTCAAAATTACTGGGATTTTACCCAGCTTCTTGTATCCTGAAGGGTTTTTTTTTCTGCATAAGGCTTAACAATTTGCTAAAGAGAAAGTAGGAATTTGCCCTTGTAATTTTTGATACAGGATTAAAAGGCATTAGCTTCCTTCAAGTGTAGGGTTTTTAACTTACAGTTATAAGGGTTCTAAAAAATCAACCCATCTGCTAGGGATTTTTTTTTATCCTATGTTACCAGAATAAACTAGTACCCCATCTTTTGATACACTGTTTTTTATAATTTTGTGATATCAGCGTTCTACTTACACGTTATCCAGGTGCTCTAGTTTCTCTAAGCTTCTCAGACTTCCATTTTCGACAGTCACACATGGATTATCAATACCCTCTATAATTTCAGCTTGCTTCTTAACCAAATAGTGTTCCTCATACTTTCTGAAAATGATGAATACATTAAAATAAAATTATTAATTCTTCTGAAAGATTGGCTTTCCAGTTGTTTTAAAAACAGAACATGAAGTATTTGTGTCAGAAGTTTAATACACGACATTTATTTTCAGTATTATTCTGGGAATTAGTTTGGAGTATTTCCTATATTTCTGTGCAATTGTTAGATTATGTATTGAATGGTAACAGGGTAAATACCCACTGCCCTCTTGGATATGTATTTGTTTTCCTCAGCTATATATGGCCCTGCTGCCACTTAAGTTGGCAGCAAAACGTCCCTTGATTTCAGCATTCATGGGGTTAGAGCAGACTTATGTGGGTATATTACAGACACTTGTGCCCTGCTTTAGAGCTAAAATTTCTGCGATCCACATTTCTCTGCTTTTAAAAGTACTTGTTTCTGCTGTTGCTGCGTGACAAATACAAGAAGAAACCAACCGTCAGTTCCGTGCACTGTGTCTAGCGTCTGCAGTACAATGCCAGGCATTTTGATTTATAGCAACTCTTAGGCAATACTCCATGCAAATATCAGTAATTTATCGGGTAAGTATTTTTCAAGTTGACATTTAAACTTATTAGTTGTCAGTCTAAATCACATAGTTAAAGTAAAACTATTTGTACCTTTTCCTTATTATAGTGAAAAGCACATATACCAGGCAGGCTATGAGGGTGCAGGCTAGCAGAACGCTGAGCACGATCGTTGCAATGAGTTCCGGAGTTGCTGAGTCTGCAGGAGCCTCTTCTATGGCAGCAGTAACAGACATTGAAAATACTTTTGCCAGTTCCATCTCAATGTTACTCTTCTGCTCCCTAAGTTTTCTGAAGATAGAAGAGTAAAATGCTGATGATTCATCAGACCTTTGTTTTGGCTTGAAGAGTAGTGAAGAAAACAACAGAATACCACTCCCTGCTCCACCAAGACCTTTTCTGAAGATTCAGGCATGTCACATCTTTCTTTCAGGAAAAAACTCTTGTTTTCTAGCCACCAGCCCTGCCGCTTATGAACTAAAATACTACAAAGTTCAGAAAATTGAACTTGAGAGGTCAGTGTCATCTAAATCCACATCAAGGAGGCCGCATACAGCCTTAAGGATACCGATAGCGCTTTCCTCAGAGAAAAAAATCTGTGGAGACTGCTCCCTGTGACCACCAACTCCATTACTAATATCTCCCACAAACAATTACTAGTTTAAGAGAGGTGTCGAGTCTAGAAATCGAGCATTTAAATAGCAGCTGCCCTTCATTGAATGTTTGTAAGAATATGCCTTCATACCACTGTCATGTTATGAAATAAATGTAAAATGCACCTAAAATGTAAGTTTTTAATCAACATTCTGCGATTCTGAAGTCGACATCTATTTTAATGATACTATTTCTCCTTCAGTTTTCTTTAAAACTGACCTTTAAATATATTTTGCACACTTCAACAGCCTTACTCATGTTTTTGACACTGAAAATTACCTTTCAATAAATAATGAAAGCTCTCTGAATTCTAAAAATTCCATTTAAGCCTTGAGATAAGCCTCAGATAAACTGTTATTTGATCTAAACCCATCCAGTCCGAGACATTAATAATTTTAAGGGAAACAAAACCTAGCTGCATAGCTCTGACACCCAGAAGACAGACCGTGCCATACAGACCTTTTTACATCTTCTGCAGATACCTCCTGGTTTGCCACATCAAAAGCAATAATTTTTACATAGGTTACATCAGTGCTGCTTCTTGCTTTTCTTTCAAACTCATTGGAATAGACACCAATGATGTATATATTCCATGCAAGTTCATTTTCCAGGACTCTGCCATAAGGTGAAGAAAAGGTTTTAAATTAACTGGGCAATGACAAATTACTCTGGAGATTAAATGATAGAAAAGTAGCATTTAATACACTTTGCAGATATTTAGTATTTTAATCTAAGCATGTAACAAAGCAGGATTATCATCAGCAAAGGAATTAAGCTATTTGCCTGATATCGTTGAGTGACTGAGTAGCAGAGGAAAAATAAAAAAAATCCAGTCCTTGTCTCTGACCAGCAAGCAAAAATACTTTTCATTAGCAGATGCTACATAACTTTTGTACATAGCTTGAAAATTCTTAGATGGGTGCTGTTAGCGTAACTGAACAGTTTATTAGAGAAAGGAGGGGTTAACAAACACTTATACCTAGATTTCATAACCAATATTGCATAGTACATCATATATTTAGTCACTATTTTCAAACCAACATATGGCTCATTTCACGCTTAACGTAATTTTTTATAAATACAGGCAGCAATACCTATAGAATATTATAAACAGCAAAGGTGTGTGTGTGGGGGGGGGAAATTCAGTCTCATAATCCTCATTATTTTCTCCTCCTTTTTCACTGAGATTTCCACACTGGATCAGACTATGGGCCAGTTAATCCATCATTCTGGTAGCAGTCAGGACCAGCTGCTTCAAAGAAAGTGGCAGAGCAGCTCTAGGGTTTCCATATAATTTTACCCACGAGAAACTGGTGCCAACGTCACAAACTCATTTTTCCATCCTTCAGAGTGATTTCCCCTCAAAAGCTCAGGACTCAATATTTCCAATGTAAATATATGTTTATGTATAATCAAACAAAAAAATCTTGTGCCTTCATTAACATGCCAAAAAGGCCAAAACATGTTTTGAACTGTAGTGGGGCCATCCACACATCGCTAGCGAATCCCCTAGCACCTCCTCAAGAAGCTCTGCTGCCGTGCTACAAGGGGGTTTCTTCTTTTGCAGCAAAGGTGGGTTTGGTTTGTGGCTTCTATCCTGTCTGTCTCCACATTTCTATCTTGAGCTGACCATCCATGAAAAACTTTATCCTAGGCTGTTAAAAATCAGAGAAACATTGAGGTGGGAAGAGACTTCTCCAAATCGTCTAGTCCAATGACCTCTTTGACATTTGTCAGCTCAGGCCAAAGCCTTACCAGGTAAAAACTGGTGGATTCCTGTGAATTCCTTCAAATTACTCCAAACTACATCAAGTTCAAGGCCTATCTTTTCACAGGCACTGGCTGTATCACTTCCCCTGTAGGCTGTCAGACCCGTGTCTCAAAAGGGGCTCTAAATCTGTCATTAGAGTATCAGCATAAGCTTCACAGTTTCAAAAATACCTTTTTACTTCAGCAATGTTTCTTTCAACAACATTGATCTTCTGATTAAGTACCACCACCACAATGTTGTTACTGGAACTGGAATCGATGGTTACCTAATAAATAAATAAATTCCATGTGAGTTTCTTTCTAAAGCATTTGTACCTCTCGTAGATAGACTTTCAGAATTAAAACCCCAAGCCCCAAAACCTCTGATATAAAATAATTGTCCTCTAAAAGTCAGGCTTCATGCCAACATATTTTTATGTGTCAACAGAAATGGCAACCTCTTAATTCCGGCCTGAAAGTATGTAGTAAATCCTGGTGTATTTCACAGTCTCACTGTGTGGTATTAGGCAATTTTTTTGTCATTACCAAACCTAGCCCTTCTTGTATACAGAGTTTTGACATGGAAGCAAATCGGGACTATAAATAGCAATCTTCCTTACATTGACTGTTGTCCGGGCTGTGAGTCTTCTTGTGCCATGGTCTGCAGCTTGGACTTCCAGATAAAATGTTCCAGCCTTTCCTGCTACAGAGACAGCAAAAATCTGCCCTGTATTTTCATCGATGTCAAATTCGTTCGTTTGATTATTCACTAAGCTGTACAGCAGAAGTCCGTTGTTGCCTGAATCTGGATCTGTGGCCTGGGTTTAAAAAAGGTGATTTGTCAAACTCAGCTTGTAGCTTTTGGGCTGCAGATAGCTCTTCAACCATAAAACTCCGCAGTTTCTATTTGTAAGGCTGGAGTATTTTAGGATAGTGCTGTCATGTTTTCCTCTTTGCATTAAACAAAGTGGGGCGCAAACTACCAGAATCAGACCAAGGGTATGAAAGGGGAAATGCATTTACCATAAAGTCTGGAGGATGCTACAGCTGCAAGCATAAAAGGAGCAGGCTAGAACCTAGGGATAACACCAGGCTTAGAAAAAGATGAGAACTGCTCTGTTTTCCCATCTGGGTCTGACAGATGACAAAGTGGTTAACAGTGCCAAAGAGAGAATGGTAATCTGTGCAGTATGTAATCCATAACAACAGCATGAGTCAGAACAGAGCGTATAGCTCTCCTGACAGACCCAGTGGTAGGACAGGTATGTACCAGTTCCCAAAACACCCCATCCTTCACCAGCATTGTGGCAAAGTGGGATGATGGGTAGAATCTGTCTCAAGCTTTCAAGAGCAGATTTAACAGCTCCTTTAACCCAGTTTAACTGTGGAATAAATCCAAATCTTTCAAAATATTTCTGTCCTCATGAAAAGCACAGAAAGATACTCTACCTGAACTGTAATAACCGGGTACTTGTACGGCACAGAGTTCGGTATCCGAGCAGAGTAGGCATTATTCAAAAATGCTGGCTCTTCATTTACATCCTGCACTGAGATTGTCAGCATTGCCACGTTTTGAGCAAACACACCTATTAAACAAACACAAGTTAACTGCAAAAAAAACATCAGCAAAGCACAACTTTCAAAGACCAGGTCAGGCTGGGGCTTTGCAGCAGTATCTCTGCTGCATGCGAGGAAGGGGGAGAAGAAAGGGAATGCAGCAGGGATGTGCCAGCAGGAAATTCATCCCACCCCTCCTGGGGCTTCAGCGAGAGCAGGCAGTTCAAGGCAAAAGGTGACAGTGCTGCTCCTCTGTCAGCCCTCTCCAGCTGTGCTGTACCAGGCAAGGGACCCGCTGGCTCCCTCCAGCTCCTGCTGAGGAGCCCAATGCCCAGCTACTCTATTCTTTCCCGAGACCACGGCAGGGCACCATGACGGTTTGCACCCTTGGAGGAAGGCTGCTGCTTTTCTTTGCACAACCTTGACCTTCAGCTTTTCATCTTTCACAGCAGACTTTTCAGTTACAGAGCATCACAATTCCTATACTGGGTTGCAAATACAGAAAACGTGTTCATTGCCCCTGATTTAAGCTGGAATGTCCTTCAAATCAAAAAGTTACCTGAACACTGGACTTCTGTGGCAGATAAGAGATTTTCATTTGCTTCAATTAAAATCACATACTGAGCAACTTCCTCATAGTTCAAATTAATTGCTGTTCTCAGCTGACCACTTTTTGGATCCAATCTAAAATGACCTGAAAGGAAAACCACGCACCTTCGTTGTTATAGCTACCTTTTCACTTGTATCCCTCCTACCTCTTGTGTCTTAGCTGCTCTTAGGATGTTTCCATGGGCCCTCTGCTCTTAAGAATGTGAAATGCAACACTACCACTGGCTCAGCAGCAAAAGCATCACTGCTGGGGTCCTGTCCCAGACCAAACAGGCCTTAAACATGTAAAGGAGCAACATACTTGGAAAACAGAATTGCAACCTCTTTCTTCACCGATTTGCAACTTTTCTGTCAGTTCCTAATTATTTCCTTTTTTCTGTGTGCAAATAGAACCACAGCTGCAAAAGCTGAAGGAGCCCGGATGCCCTAACATAGGCGCAAGTGCAAGGAAATGTTAGACTAAAAGTGATGGGCAGGGAGGAAGCTGCTTGCTAACAAACTTCTATTTTGGCTGCAGGAATCCTTTTTTTGACTACAGGAACCCATTTTCTGACAAGTTACCACCACCTGTTTAGCCAAAGAAGACTAACACAGTCCATGCTGAAGAGCTCTGAAAGAAATTCTTTGTGTACTTTCGTTTTTCAAAAAAATGACACAAGCTTTAATCCTTACTCTTCATCTCCTCATTTACATACAGCCACATCTGCCACACAAAAGACAGGTTGTTCTGTTATCTTAGCTAGTTTAAGTACTCACCTTTTTCATTGCCAGATAAAACTGTGTAATCAATTTGTTTTCCTAAAGTTTCAACCACAGCAAAAGCGTAAATGAAATAATCCACTCCCGTGTTTTCCAAAATGGAAATGCTAATATAGAAAATAAATGATAAATCATAATGTTAAATTTCCCAGCAGTTGTTGTCCTGGCAGGCTTTGAAATTAACTCTTTTAGAGCGAGTTCTCTGTGGAAAATCCTGCCCCCTCCCCTCTAGCTGTTTGCTAGAGCTGACTGACAGTCAGAGTGCAGTGCAAGCCCTACTTTTCTAGCCAGGCATTTGGTTAACCTTGAGTAAAGGCTAAGGAAGAATGCTTTGCTAGTGTGCACAGGAAAGGGACAAAGAGTTTGGCTTATACAAGCTGCACGATAAAGAAATAAAAGGCGATGCCTTGCATCATGTTCACAGAACCACAGGCATAGCAGAATTTCCTGGATGTTTTGTTTAAAAAAACCACAAAACTGATGTCCTTCCTTCTGCATGGAAGAATATGAAAATTAGCTTCAACTTTCAACTTTACTATGTTTTCCACTAGTTGGAGAGTATGTACCAATCATATAACTTAATATGAAAGCCTCACCTGATTTCACTCTTGTTAAACTGTGGAACAAATGGACGGTTGTCAAACACATGAAGAGTAATCATAGCAGTGTCATTTAAAGATGGAAAGCCTTTGTCCTTAGCCATCACTGTTAAATGGACCTCTCCAGATTGAGACAGGTTTCCAGTTGTAATTATTTTCCCCTTGTTCATATCTTCTATCAGGAAGAATGGGCTGAAGTTTTGATCCCGGAGGATGTAGTACTCAATAAGGCCATTTTGCTCCTGCCACGAAAGGAACACAACTTCGCGTAATTATTGCTTGCAGGACCACGTATTTCAGTGCCCCAAGTCCCATAGTACAGACTCATTGGAATCTCAGTATTTCCATGCTTAAATTGACAGAATGCCAGAGGCGTTTTAAATAACTAGAGAATCATGCTCAGAGCTACTTTGTGCTTAAGTTCTAATACAAAAGCAGCAGCAGGGGAAAGAACCAATAGCAAGAGCTATACACTCCCTCCCCCCCACCCCCCCAAATTAATTTTGATGTTCCAAGATCCAAAAAAAAATTCCCATAGCAATACTCAAGAAAACTACATGCACGGGGAGCACATTTTGAAGGGTAGGATAAACACTGAAACAAGAGATTTGACAATGTCTAAATATCTCCGGTGAATTTATTTAGAGAACGAAAACTTGAGGTTAGCGATGGTAAGGATGGGTGCCGATAAAAACATGAAGCAAAAGAAAATTCACAAGCAGTTGGCCAATTACGCAGCAAAAATGTGAAAAAGGGTCTCTAATGAAAATAAATTAAGGGCATGTGTAGAAGGGGACAGACAGAGTAGTGAGAGTGAGTCATCTAAAGGTGCGATGTCATCAAGAATAAGCCAAAGTCCCTTGGATCCTTTTCACACCCTGAGGAGAAGCACAGCCTCCCCACTGTAATGAGGGTGCGCCCTGTTCCTGCCTGCCACAGGAGAGTTGGACATGTTTTACTCTATGCACATCACCTCGCTGTCCTGAGACAAGCCATTTTGACAGACCCTTAGGGTTTGCTCTATGGCATTTTGCTCTGTATTTCTGAAAAGCATTGTATCCTTTTCTTCCGTGGCTCTGCGGCAGCAGGATCAAACCCTACCATGAACATCTGTTGTCACTAAGTAATCTGTGGATTTATGATTATTTCAGGAACAGGGAGGAACAGGACAAAGTCTAATAATTTCAGTGCTGGACTCTGCCCCAGAATCCTGAAAGGGTGGCACAGGGAGAATGAGTGCCCCTCTGCATGGCAGAGGACCAGTCATGTTACCTGAAGGGTAAGTTTCATTAGGGTCTCAATGCAGATCACAGAGTCTGGCAACTTTCATAAGCAATTTCACTTTTTATATAAAATAATGGAGAAGGACGATAAAAAAAAGGGGCCATTAGAGTATTTACAGCAATATACCACAGCTGCAGCTATTTTAACCAAAATTACACGTGAAGAAATAGGAAGGCACCTGCTACACCTATTCTGTTGTCGCTTCTAGATGTGTCATCTTTTAAATTATATAATTAGTAGTGATGTTGTCATGGTGATCTGGTTGACTACTGGATATCTCTGCCAGTGCTTGGATACTACACTTGATGGGTGCAGTACAGGTATATCAAACAAAATTACTTTAAAAGACGGGGACAGAGAGAATTTAGCTGGGGTACCATGCTTCAGAGGCAGTGGTAAGCAGACATTTCCACGTTCAAGCCAGCAATGTGATGTTTGGCTTTTACAGATTCTTCTACTTCAGAAGATCAAATAAGTTCACAGACACTAAATTGCTTCAGTCCTTGTATGTATACTTCTGAAAGGCAGGTACAATCCCATGTAATAAGGGGAAAAAATTAAGGCAAATATAGCTGAAGAAGCACGTTCAAAGACAGGGAGAACATCAGTGTCAAAGCAGAAACATCAAATGTCCTAATTTCCAATTCCCAATGCTGTTAGTCAACCAGAATTCACTTGCTGCTACATTTGGTATTTCATGCCTAGAGAATGAAGAAAAATATATTTGGGCTGCAGCTTAAAGCAGTGTCAAAATCAAACAGGAGTAGTTACCTGATCTTTGTCAGTAGCGCTCACAGTTATGACATGAGCACCTACAGGATTAATCATGTTTATAGAAGCGGAATAGGAATTCTGAGCAAATACTGGAGCATTATCGTTCACATCAATCACTAGAACAGTGACATGAGCAGTTGCCTAGAAAACAAAATGGGGTTTATTCAGTTTAGAATATTTAGAATGTCTTATTTAGCGATTTTTTTTGTTATTTGCATATGCAACACACAGTATAAATGAGACTTTCGAAAATGCTGTAGTAAAATAATTGTGTTAGGTTTAATTTTGTCAACTCAACATCAGAGATCACTACAGGATTTTAACATGAGAGGGGCAGGAACTCAATGTTGCAGTAGGATTCTACTTCTTGAAATGTATCTGAACGATTAAGACCAGGATGTATTTAGGAGTCCAACATGTTGCTGCTAGATGCAGTTAATGGAACCACACATGCCCAAGTTCTGTTAAATAAGTATGTAATACCTTTTCAAATAAAAGAAATACTGAAGAACTAGAACAATTCGCTGAAAATTACTTTTTCTCCCATGAAAAATTATCATGGCACTTACAGTACTAACAGCAGCAGGCAAGAATTCCAGTTCCCCAGCAGAGGTTAGTCTGCAAACAATTCAGGGTCAAATTCTACCATGCATGATTATGAAGCATTTCGACTAATTATGAAGTATAATACTACTCAGCATGGACAAAGGTCGCAAAAGTCTGACCCTAAACATGATTAGGTGACTAATTTATTCCGCACAATAAACATCTTTGATAGGTCTCCCTCCTGCTACTCCAAAATCCGCTCTGAATAGAAGAATGACTGTTCATTACAGTAACGGTCTCTTACCTGATGGAAAGGGGCAGATTTATTGTTGACTGCATTCACTGTAAGGCTGTAATTATTCATGGTTTCATAGTCTGGAGAGTTCTTTATCTTAATGTTGCCATGTATTTCATCTATTTCAAATAAATTTTCTCCACCACCTGAGAAACGTTTATAGAAGCGCTATCAATTAATACATCTTAGAAGCACATAATTAACTACACATTTAAATGATCTGTTTACTTGTGTCTTGAGCTCATTAAAACATTTTTTTAAATATCATATAGACCATGTAGAAGAAAAACAGAAAATATTTTGAGTGGATGAGCGTTTGAAATGTGAGCCAACAGAATGGGTTGATGAGTTTTGCAGATCCATCTGCCATACTCAGAAAGTAATAGTGCTTGAGGCACACAAATGATGACGGCAGCACATTGGAGTTCTGGGGTGAATCTCTGGAAGCAAGTTCCTCCAAGCCTGTGCAACTCTTAGAGGGGATCAGAGGTGTTCCCAGGCACTTTGACAGTCTTCTGACCTTCTGTATGTTCAGTCTCATGTTTGCTGGTGGCAACAGTCGTGAAGCACTGTAACAAGTCAGTGCTCCTGCCAAGATCTCTAAGAGGAGATGTCAGTGGATTTATTCCGTCTCTAATGAAGGTGGACTGAGTGGCACACAGGTCTAAAGAGAAATCTGTTTGACTGCCAAAAGACCTGGCAGTGACTTTTACTGGCCACCCTTGTTCAAAGCCACCTCAAAGTTTATATGCATATTGGAAATAAAAGACTCTAAAATCATATAAGCTGTATACACATCACTCTTGATGGTCCATACAACAAACAACTATTTCAACTCCTGCAGGCTGTGGTTCAGAAGGGTCTCAATCTCCACCTCTGTCAGATTAAAGGGCAGTGGCAAAAGGCACACTCTTCCCAACTGTGATGCCATCAGCTACCACAGTTAAATGTGATAGGAGGCATGAATCAGAGCTCTCAGTCACTGCAGTTGACAAGCTGGCACATTAATGTAAAATGAAATTGAAGGCACTTTATATTAATAGCCTGGACAGAGATCTGAGGTAGCAGAGTAGGTGACCTGCTGCCTGTTGCAGCATTTCTGCTGCAGAGGTAAAGGCGTCCAGCGCAAGGGTAAAGACGACAGCTCTCCAGCAGCCCTCATCAGTGAATCAGGTCCCTGACACTCTTGTGATACCATTTACATCTGCTCCTAGCAGCTGTGAAACGCTCACAGTCCACAGGCTGAGGCGAGGCTTAATTTAGCATCATTTAATACCTGGCACAGGCACAATGGTTTCTACAAGGCAGGGCTGAATTCAGCCCTAGACCCTTATTCCTCATTCAAGATACCTACAGGCACTTTTTTCATCAAAATTACTCCCGCTAATTGCAGCTATGGCAGTCAAGTAGCTAAAGAATTTTTCTTTTAAAGCTGATTTTTAACAGAATTAAGAGTCTCACGAAAAGCACAACACTGTACTTCCTGCAAAAGAAGTTCCTAGCCAATCAGTTTGAAAGCTATATGAGCATAAATTAGTAAAATACCAAAACCAGGTGAAAGTGAACCTTCCTGGTTTATGTGGAAAGGGGTTAGGAAATAGCACACATAATGCTATTTATGTTTGGAACAGTAGAGACGACAAAGTGATAGTTGTTCCAGTGCAGTGAGAGAATTCCTTGTTACCTGTAAGGCTATATAGAACAAAGGCATTGTCTCCTGTGTCTCTGTCCGTTGCCGTGATTTTTCCAACTATTAATCCCACAGGCGCGTTTTCATTTACACTGAATACAGTCACTGGATCAAAGACAGGTGGCCAGTCGTTAACATCAACAATCTTTATGACAACTGTGCAGTAACCTCTTTTTTTCTCAGGGATTCCATCATCTTCAGCATATATCACAACCTGTAAGTTGCACAATTATTAATAATGAGAAGTCATATAAATAGGTACTTGTGTAAGGATCAAAAAATCTGCGTGAATTTTAAACTTTGGAGTATTCTTAGAAATGTAAATTCAAATTCTGAGTTCACCTTAAAATTATTAATGAAACATAAGGACTATTTTGTCAATAAAAAAATCTTTCTGTATAGAACCAACAAATTCACTAATATTTTTGCTTGAAGCAAAGTAAGATCATAAAAAATATCCAGCAGTGGCAGAAACAATAAAGAAGATTAACAGAGAACTGTGTCTGTGAGATGTCAGTCCAGTACAGATGCAAGCAAACAGACAACACTGAATACATGAGCTGTCATTTTGAACTTAGTTATTCATGTGCTGATGTGTTTGAGAGTTTGTAGGGCAGGTGAACAATGAGTTTTGCTTGAATTTCATTATAATCTAAAGGCAGTGTCTTGCTTTAATAATGCATCACATCTTGACATGTCCATATTCTAAAACAATGCATAAAATGTTCAAGCAATATCAAGCTAAACAAAAAGTGTGACCTGTTATCCAAGGGAAAGATAAAGAGTTCTGGATAACGAAAAGACTTAAGAATGTAAAGCAAACCTGATACTCTGTAGGTTCATCTTCATAATCAAAGGGGGCAGTGGAATAAAGAATTCCAGTTGCTTCATCTATCCTGAATTTTAGTCTATCTCCATTGAGAATGCCGTATGTTAAGAAACCATTTCTACCTGTATCACTGTCCTGAGCTTTCAGCTGGACAATCTGAGTAGCAGGCAAATTCTGCGGATGAAGAACAGATTGAGGCTGTCAAGGACCTTGGTTAGCTGGAATTTCTTGAATTATGTGAAAGGAGGAAAGTAATGGATACCACATATCTTTACCACAGTATACATATTTTAAAATCAAAGTATACAATTTGTTCAGCACAGTAAGATAATATCTTGTTTTCTCTAATTTACAGAAAAGAACTATTTACCCCCATGTCTCTACCTACAGCAGCAATCTTCAGGAAGAAAAATCACCACAATTTCAAACAGGCCGAATGTTAACCTCAAGCAACTGACTTGCTGTTGAGGAATTATTGATGTTTAATAGCCTCTACTCCTATGAAACTCAATGGATGTTCTCAACTTCAAAATCATGTTTCTTTCTGAACTCTATTTGGCTAATAATTACTCTTTTAAAAAAAAAAAAAATCTATGTCTTCCTTTTTAAAAATGTTATTTGCATTAAGATTGACAGTAAATATCAGTGTTTCGCTTGCACGGCCATTTGAGACCTGATCTAAAGTTATTTGTTCCAACAGTGCATCCAGCAATTCCTACTGTTTAAATCTTTCACAAGGAAATCAATTTTTAAGGTTGGGAAATGTGATTCTAACTCTTCTCCATTAAACTGACTGGGAACATTAAAAATAGCTATGACAATTAAACCTGTATTTAGCTCAATGTTAGAAATGGACTAGATTGGAAATCAGTTGTCAGTATGAATCAGCTGGCAATCTCAAAGGCAAGGTATATGCTATATAAAATATAAACACAATCAATGTGCTTCTTTTTAAACATGTCGCTAGCAGATTAAAGCGCGAAACGTGTTGTTTGAAAATTGAAGAGTGAAATGTTAAGCTAGATGCTTTTGCATAATTAAGTGCTGTGGCTTCTTTTGCAGGCTATCATAACATAACAGCCACAGACTAAAACCTGGCCTGTTAGTGTCAGGAAGAATCACAACAGATAATACATGTGCAAGAGGAGAAATATTTCTTAATTAGAGACTTCTGCCTGCTACTTCTCTGTATGAAGTTCCATTACAAAAGGCTGAGAGAGTCTATGAGGTGCCTAGCACATCCACTAGATTGTGAATGCACATGAATATTTTCTGTGTCCAAATATGCAAGATGGAGTGACTGTTTTTCCTTTGTGGAGTCCCTTATTAGTAAAAGATTCACTTTTCCTTCAATATGTCCACATTTCTAAACCATTCTCTATATGTATTGGGATTTTCAGCTTGAAATAAACCTTAAAACATCATATGGCAGAACAGAATGGTTAAGCCTGTCCAGTTCCAGGATGTTTACTCGGATACTCACCAAAATATTTTTTTATCATTATTCTGAGGGTTTATTTTTGTGATTCATTTTGGATGACATTTTCTTACCTCTTCCAATCTTTTTTCTAGTAGAGAAGATGGGAAAACTGGAGGGAAATCATTTTCATCGATAACATCCACAATCACAGAAACTTCATTAAATATGTGAGGATTAGACGAATCTGTTGCTTGTACGTTGAAAGTGACTGGAAAATCT